TTAATCGGCTTCTCTTCTTCTTCTTCACTGTCATCACTCTCTACATCATCAAGGTCAATCACTTCTTCTTCGTCATCTTCAGACTCATCACCTTGTAACATACACTCGACTTTTCGTAACTCGTCTTTGTCTTCCTCCTCCGATTCGTCTTTTGGTATTTCTCTCACTGTATCTCCTTTTGGTGCATACGGCTTTCTAAAGAATTTCACAAACACTTCTTCTTTGTCCGCCTGCGATTTGCCTTCAACCTCTTCAGTCAATTTAAACAGTTCAGCGATCTTCGCAAAGTCTTCTTCCGAAAGCTTTTTAATCGCTTCGCGCGAGTAATCTCTCATCATACGATCAATTATCCCACTAAATCTCATGATGTTTTCGAGTCTTCCTTCGCGTTCCCCCATCTTATGATACATTATTTGATGTATTTTTATCAAGACTTTATCTTTGTTCTCCTCCGCTTGAGTCAAAGCATCATAAAAAGTCGTCGACGTTCCAATCACAATACCATTCCCTTTCTCAATTTTCGTTCCAAAAAATGCAGACGTCTCTAATCGCATCACTGGTTTCCGTTCGTCTTTGCTTCTCGTGTTCATCCACCTCTTTTACAGTTCTTTCGAGTTTTATCTTTTCACTTCGCTCAAAGTGAAAGTCAAAAGCCTTTACTTCTCGTTCCACCGTTTTTTCCCGCATTTTTACAAGAAGTCAAAACACTCTAACTGTGTCCTTCTTTTTATCTTTTCTCCACTTCGACTTTCTCAACCCTTTTCCTCGCTTATATTGTCTTTCTTTCTGCTCATTTAAATATATATTGTTGTATCATATTTTATAGTACATTGTTTTTTTTTCTCTTTTTATTACTTTTCGTTAATTATTTATAAGTTTATTATTATACCTTTTTATTTTTCGTCTTGTGATATATTTTAATAGTATGAACATTTATATAATAATAATATATTATTAAATAATAATACTAATAATATTTATAAGAATATTAATTAAAATTATAATAATAGAACAATTTTTATAAAATGTATTCAAATTAAATATAATAGAAGTCGATATAACACAACACAAAGATATTGTTAACAATTACAATAATATAAAAAACAATAGTTTTTTTTATAGAAGAAACATCTCAAATATCTACAAGCCAAAAATAGTATTCTGCTTTTGAGATGCAATGATGAATTTTTTTGAGTTGATATTTGCATTTTGCTTGAAGAAGTTGCCAAAACAATGGTAAAACTCCAGTGATGAATATTTTGTCTTCTGTGTGTTTTTCTGGAACCCTCTTCATATATATAAGTCTGTCTACTTTATAGAAATACATTAGATGAACACTGGATTGGATTTCCTTCATAAAGATGGTGATAAGTGTTATATCAACTGCCAACCTCAATACTGGACAGGCGGAAACCAAGAAGACTTAGACTATATCAAAACACACACCACTTATGAAATCATCAAAAGAAGATGTCTACGTCGTCCAGACAATGACTTCTTTGGGTACAGAAGACTTGAAAACGACCGATATGTAGGTGATTATATTTGGATTAAAAACAAAGATGTTCTGGACTTAGTAGATACTCTTGCTGGTGGTATCATATCGACATTGAAATTAAAGAAAGGAGACTTTGTTGGGATTATCAGCTCAAACCGGTATGAATGGTATGTCTCACAGTTTGCAATGCAGCGACAAGGGATAGTACCTGTCCCTCTCTATCCAACTTTAGGTAAAGACTCTCTCAATTATATCATCACCACTCTTAACATTAAAAACGTCTTTTGTACATTCTCAAAGACAGTAGAAGAGATGTATAATAGTAATCCAACTCTCAAATTGATATGCTACCCAACCCTGAAAAAGGTGATGTCAACAATACCATCCAATATCAATTATATTAACTACACTGACTTGATCGAAATGGGTAAGAAGAACCCAGTAGAGCCTGACTTACCTTCACTCAACGATATGTTCTCTGTGATCTTTACTTCAGGGACCTCTGGTGTGCCTAAAGGAGCAATTCACACGTATTCAAGTTCTTCACATGGCGCTTATGTGATCAACACATGTGGCCTTTTTGGTTCAGATGGACTTCTGAATGGTACATACTTCTCTTACTTACCATCTTCTCATGTACTGGAACTGGAAGTTGCACATGCATTCTTTTATGGTGAAGGTCGTGTTGGTATCATTTCTGGGGGTATTCAGACATTAGCAGAAGATTTGAAATTGTGTCAGCCCACATTCATGGTAGCTGTCCCTCGTGTTTTACAGAAGATATTCGACAAGTTCACAGAGACAATCAACAAGTCGAGTTATTTGACACAATTTGTATATCACATGGCTTATTCTTACAAATTAAATGCAGTCAAAACAAATAGTTGGACATACATCAATTGGGATTATTGGGTCTTATCCAAAGTGCAAGAAGTCTTTGGTGGGAAGCTGAAGTTTTTGTTGAATGGCGGAGCACCACTTACTCCCGAGTTATATGATTGGCTTCGTGTTTGTACTGGGGCCTTTGTATTCAAGGGTATGGACTTACAGAGACATTTGGTGGATGTTGTTGGTCACTTCCCAAATGACAGACTTGAACTTTATGAATGTAGGAAGTGTATGTCCCACAGTTGAGTTCAG